TGAATGTGAAGAGCAGCTCAGATTTGATGAGAAAAGTAAGTTCATCCTGAGACTTCTGATTGCAAATCCAAGCACAGTTTGAGACATTGATGAGATTCTTGCAAGATTCTGGAGGAGACACATGTGAGATTATGGGCTCTTTCATGCAGTGTTATGTAGCTGTATGTGAATGTAAACCATCTGCAAAGTTGTAAAGCCGAAAGTGCACGATAAATTAAATTACTGTCTCCCAAAATAAAGAAATGACTCTGAACAGCCTAAACAAGTTATCAGTAATTCGAATCCCACTTCTGTGACGGCTACACATCACTGGGTAATACATTTGCATAATGCCCGCCTATGTTCTACGTTGGCCAGCCGCGAACAACTTGGCCCACCCTTAAACACTGCAGTTCAACGCAGGATTCACAAAACACTTGCTCTTGAAAGATGGCTTAGTACACAGTTTATTTGGACCAGCTGGCTCCACTGAATCACAACCTATATGTTTATATTAATAGATGTTTATATTTTCTATCGAGCGTTCAAAATGCAGAACTATGGCAATGGGCATATCGTTTCTGACACGTGCTGTATGCAGTAGACCAATCACAACAGACTGGGCCATCTGACCAATCAGAGCAGAGTAGGCTCATAGAAAGCAGAGGTTTAGAGAGACTGAACCTTTGATCTGCTTCGAACGAATCATTTGAGAATCGTTGGAAAATGAGGTGATATTAAATGCATATTTTGAGAAAACAAAGCATTTTTTGATCATGCAGGCATATAAACCTATTGTAGGAGACTCCCAAAACAATATTAAGAACCTTAAAAATGGCATAACAGGGGCACTTTAATCTTCATTTGATCTCAAATAATCAAACTGTTTCCCATGAATAAAACATCTGAAATTCACATTAACACATCTTTCTGTGTTTATTCCTCCAGAGAGCTTGCCTTTGTGATGTCCAGTGTTGTTCCCAAAACTCTAAATTCACTATGCGCTTTCCCCTCAGGAAACACACACACACACACACACACACACACACACACACACACACACACACTATAAAAAAACGTCTTGTGTTTGAGTCTTTCTCGAGGCTTTTTCATGTGTCTCTTACGGTTTGTTCAGACAGGCAGCAAAAATGTTTTCTGGCGTGCCCAACTAAACATTTTTTTCTGTGGTCTAAACAGCAAAAACACACCAAATGCAACTTCCACAAACCCCATCCAAACCACATTCACTGGTCATTTCAAATTCATTTAAAATCTGATCCGATGTGGTCTGAGCGTCTGATCGAATTAAAACTGCACATTTTAGAGTGGCCTTTTATTGTGGCCAGCCTAAGGCACACCTGTGAACATTTTTAAGTGAATTTTCATTTTGATTATTATTCTATGTTTAAGTTTGACCAGCCATCCTTTGGTAAGAGTAGTAGTCACAATTTTAAAATGTAGCCGACTTATTTGGGGGATATCAAATTCATAAATTAGTTACCTCAAATTACCACAAAGAACCCAATTGTTCACTTTTAAGACGTTACTGTTGTGATTAGAAATTAATTGGTTATTCTTTATTAATTGGTCATAGTTCACAAGTAGTTCTCAATGAGGATATTTTTATTTCATAATTATCACATATCTAATAAGGAACTACCTTTGTCCTAAATTTGCTACTACTTACTGCTTAGTTAATCTTGCTTCTCTATTAGTTAATAGTATTAAGTTGTGTTAATGTAGTATTACCTACTACCTATTGCATAGTTACTTGTTAACAACGGACCATTATTCTAAAGTGTTACCGAAAAAGTCTTAGATCTTAGATTTCAGCTCATGAAAAATGGGGGCAAAAACAAGTGTTGCGTTTATAATTTTGTTCAG